CCCCCCCTGCCCCCCAAACACAACCACTGCACAAACTGTAAATGTGAGAATTTCCCCTGCAGTCAGCTCGAGGAGGAAAAGGTAACATTTTCCTGGCCTGGGCCCTGCATGGCTAATGGGAGGGCTGGTTTGCAGAAATAACAGTGCTGGCCCTTCAGTGGCCTAGCCAGGCGTTCACAATAGCACTTTCATTCCGAAATTCCCAGTGGGCAGAGAGAGGGAGGGAAGGAGGCCTGAGAGAGGTAGAAAGGCCGATGCAGTGTGGGGCCGCTTCGGCTACAAAGGGACAGCTGAAAGGTAGAAGAACGGTGGGAGGTTCCCTAGGTCAGCCCAGGCCTGGACGGGTCACTCACACCTTGCCAGTTTTGGGGATTCCAGGGGATGTCCAGAGGAACCGGCAGGCCCACCTCTTCAGAGGGTTACAGATAAGGGTAGTGATACCCACCTAAGCCACAAGCCACTGTCCTCAAGATTCCAGCATCAGCCCTCAGCCAAAGGGTTTTGAGGGTGAGAGTGGGGCCCTGACACAGAGCCCAGCTCTGGCCAATTACGGGCCCTTACCAAACAGCGAACAGCCACCAATAAGCATAAAGTGACACACAGGAGCTGAGCAGGCTCATCAGGAAATTCCACAGGGAGGCAGAAAGGTAACTGCCCCTGCCTCTGTGAGGAGCCTGGAGGAGGGGCACCGGGGGACAGCAAGGCCACACCAGGTCCAGGAAAGTCAAGGCCAGCCGTGTTCTACAGTGGGTGATGGGAAAGCCGGGGTAGGCATTCAGAGACCTGAGTTTTAACCACAGATCATCCACGGACTTATTGTGTGATCCTGGCTGTGTCACTGCCTGCCCCCAAGCCTCAGTTTCCTCATCTGTAAAATGGTGAGATTCAACCAGGTGGCCTCTGGGGTTTGTTTTAATCCTCAAAGCACCTAAATGCCCATATCCACTTGTCCCTAGGTGGATGCTATCTCCTCAGAGCAGCCTGAGTCCGCTGGAGAGTGCCTGCCAGGCCCCCCACTCATGTGCCCCACATGGCTCCAGTGGTCTGGGCTACCACAGTGGAGCGCTGAGGGCCCCAGCTCACCTAGCACTGGCCAGAGGGGACCCATGGACAAGCCCTGTCCTGCCCCATAGGCTACATTCCCTGCGCCCTCTAGTGACAGCTGGCTGACTTGCTTCTTCTCAGGACTTGGAGACCAAGGAGGGCAGGATGAGACAGAAAGACAGAAGTCAGGGTGCCAGGGACTGAGTGAAGGGGCTCCCAGGACAGGAGGTCCACACCTGAGCCCCAGCTGGGGAGAAGTTCTGAGCAAGGCCAGAGGCTGGAATGAGCCCAGGAAATCACTGCCACCCTGCACTTTCAGGCCCCTGGACTGGGGCCTCTGAAGAGAAAACTGAAGCCACGACCAGGACTCGTGACAGCCAGAAGGTGCCACTCCCTCTAGAGTGCAGTTTCCCACCAGTTTCACCATAGATCTAGCTGAGTGTTCTGAGGTCCCTCTCCTCTCCTGGATGTCCCAGGAGTCACCTCAGAGTTCCCTGAAGTGGAGAGCTACCCAAACAAGAAGCCAAGCAGAGGCAGGTGGCAAGCAGTCCAGCCCTGCAGGAATGTGCTCGGAAGTCACCAAGTCCATGCCCCTGCCTCTGGCCCAGCTGTTCCTCAAGCACTGGGGCCTCCCAGGCAGTGGGAAGACTCCAGGGCCCCATCTCTGGGCCTGTGCCCAGAGTTAAAAACGTGGGCACTTCCCAAAGCAAGGGCAGCCCAGAAACCACCACCCACCACAAAGGACAGGCAGAGGCGGTAGTGCTGGCCAGGGCAGAGGGAGGCCTGGGCTGCATCCGGATGGGCCAGGTCTGAGGCAGTCGCCTGCCAGGGTCAGGACTCGGGCACACTGGGAGGGTGCCCAGGGAGCGGCTGAGAGCGAAGAGAGGAGGGTTCCTGGTCCCTAGAGCGGACTGCCCGACCACAGGCATCGCAGGAGCCTGGGCTGCTTTGTTCCCTCTGGGGCTTCCCTCGGAATTCCCAAAGTGAGCCAAGAATTGCTGCACAAAGGTCACTGGGAGCCAGCCCAGGGCCAGGCTGAGCCCTGCAGAGGAGTACAGGTATGGACTTCCCATGGGGCTGGGGCCCAGGGAGCTAGGCAGAGGGGTCAGGAGGCCTGGGAACTCCCACCCAGGTAACCCGGTCGGTCGGAGCCTCCGGGATGGGCTCCTGCCTTGAGGATGCCCCTGGATAATACCCCTCTCTATCCCATCTGTTTCCCTGGTAGCACAATAAACTCAAGGGCCCGTCTCTGGTGTTCTCTCCCTCCAGAATGGGAATTCATTCCATAACCAGGGTCTGGGGGTACCCTGGGGGCATGTCAGTGCTCAATTTCCCT